GCTGTGCGGGGCCGGGTGGGGCGGCGTAGGAGTCAAGCGCGGCCGCAAAGGGCCGGAAGAGGATGTGGGGGGCACGGCGCTGCGAGGCGGCGCGGAGGCGAAGCTCCCCTGAGCCGCCGGCGTGCTCTCCCGCCCGCTCCGGACGGCTTCCTCCAGGCCACTTCATTTCGCCTTTCGCCGGCTCATCTCCGACAGATTTTTGCGCACTGCTCCTGCCACTTTAGATGTGCTGCAGGAAGCCGGAGACTAAAATGTACAGCTGACCGAAGAGAATTGCCAATTGTTTTAGAGTCTCAGCATAAGGGCGGTGTAGACGATACAGTTTTCGCGCAGATTCTGGTACAGTTTTAGACCAGAATCTTTAAAATCTCAAACTACAAGTATAAAAGACAAAAGTCACGCATGTAGTTCTGTATGTTTTCTGTATGAATTCTGTGTGAATCACCACAAGACGCCGCTAAGGATAGTCCGGGAAACCACCGAATTGCGCCGTTCGAATACTTTCAGTGGCGGTATTTCTGTGCATGTGTTCTGGATGTGACTTTTTTTTGTTATTTAAGGTCGCATTAACACGACGAAAATAGATTAGTCATGATCAGAATTTTACTTGTTCTAAATAAGAAAGATGTCACAAATTGGTATCTCATCTATAGTCTTATCTTTTAGCATTAATCATTGTATACAACTTTGCAGTTTTATTTCCACTTTTATAATCTCAATTCTTTCTACTGTTCAATTTCCTTTTTGCATCTCATCTGGCAACATTCATGTATCTTTCATGTTTCTAATGATGTATTATTTCATGTTTTTTTTACTGTTTCTTTACTTTTTATTTACTATTTCTTTTAGTCAATTTTTTATACTGATTCATAAGATTTTCCGACTCCAACGATATTACCATCCATTTTCCATCTTCCATTTTATTTGTAATTTCTTTTCCTATTCCTATTAAACTTCCTTTTAAATATAATTTCTTTTCTGACATTTTTTAAATTTATTTTCCAACGAGACATATTCTGAATTCCGTACAGCATTTTCGTTCTTCGCTTCTTCAAAACTCTAGATAAAGTTTTGCCTTCTGTCAGCTGAAAGTTCTTCTAGGCATCATTGGTTGTCGTCTAAACACATACACTATCGTTTATTACTCTGTCAGAAATTACTCTACAATACCATGAGTCCGGAGGGCCAGAATTTCGTACATTTAGCCACTACATTACTCAAATATGAAAGACGTGACGTGACTCAGCAGGGAATTGCTAAAAAGTGTTTAACATGGGGAGGTCAGACTGAGGAGTCTGCATAAAAGACATGTCAAGGTTACAGGCAAGGTAACTAGCGGGCACTGCGTTTTGAGCAACTGGTGCGATATTTAAAAGTAAGGGTTGAACAAGTTTCTCCGGATTGGCGGTACAACACGGTATACCTGACCCATCATAGTCTTTTGGAGAAGTCAGTTAACAGTTATTTTGCAAATGTAGAACTATTGATTCCTATTTCGTCAACTAAAGCAAAGTACTCGGTTAAAATGAAGCCCATCAGTAATATTTCAACTTAATAATTGAATGTAAAATAAATATTTTGAATGAAAAGTATCCTGCTTTTGTAGTTGTGTTTATTTACGACTGCAATAATTTTATAAACTTCATAGGTTCAGATTAGGAGGTTTAAAATATCGTTAAATCGAGAAAAAATCGTTAAATTAAGAGTCTTGTTCATTAATTTCATATTATTTCTATACTAAACAAATAAATGAATGATTTAATAAAACAACATAAAAGGAAAACAAGAACTCGCAATTCAAACATGTCCCTGATATATGGTACAAATCTTTATACAAGGCGGAATTTAAAAAGAAAATAAACATAAAATAGTAATAAATAGTTAATGATTTAAAGGTAATTCAAATCTCTGCTGTTGGGTAGGATAGATCTGGCAAACATATTTTCGTAAGAAGCCATTATTCCCCGCCTCGCACCGCTTCATCTTACGATTATACCACTTCCTGGATTTGGAGGGAAAACTAGAGCGAAGTAAGGGGGTGATCCGTGCCGGCTTCATCCATAGGTTAAGTTAAAAATAAGTTAGTAAGCACTGCCCCCTTCTTTGCGGCATAAGCCAAAGAGCTGTGGCACATGAACCCCAACATGACAATAAACTCCCGCCTCGCCAGGGCTACTGGCGGGAGGAAAGTTAAAAAAAGTCCCGTGCTCGCCCAGGCGCGGGCAAGTAGACAGTGCGGGCGCGGTTTGACATACATGGACTCTGCGTAAAACGTCCCCAGCTCTCTTACTCCTGTTTGACCACGACTTTATTTTTTCTTCGCTTCTCTAAGTTTAGATTTCCTTAGATTTATTACAGTATACGTCACTTAAAGTTAATCGCCTTTTCTCCGACCTTAAAATGTTCATGAATTAATTTCAATACAATTATGTACTTTTGATATCGAAAAATAGTCACTCATATTTTACCCCCCCCCCCAAAGAGGATTCTTGTAATTCTCTTTGAAGTGCACTCGCTCTCCTTTCTTTTTTCATGAATTCTTCTTCTTACCACGCTTACCTCTTACACGTTACCTCTCGCACACAGACGCTGTCTGCTGCAGCTCCAGTACCACCGCCGCCGCCTCCGGCGTCGCGGCATAAAATTGCAGTAAAAACTTTACGGCAGTAGCGCGGCGCGGCAGAGCGCGGCTGTGGGCCGGCGGGAAACGGGGAGGGGAGGGGATGGCGCCCAGGAGAGGGGGAGGGGAGGGGATGGCGACCGTGCTCGTGTACCTGGCCGCCTCCGATAGTGAGCAACTCGCTGCGAAGAAAGGCTACCTCCGCTGGCGGGTAAACTCATAACTCATGGCCTCCACTTCGCACCTGCTCGCTGCACTCAAACTCGCGCATTACATCGTATTAGAAAACTTACGCCCGAAGAGCACCGCGACTTGGCTCTCCGCCTCTCCACTCCCCTCCACTCCCCCTCCTTGTCCCCGCCTCGGGCTGCGTGCCGCGCCCCGCGAGATTCGCTAAGAAATTGTTCGCCTGCGGGACGAGTATGTTGGCCGCAAAGAGCTTCAATTAACATAAGTAAACTTGCGGGGAGGGCTATCAAACTCTGTGGGTTTCTTGGAGGTTTTTTCTTGCGTAGATTTGGAGCGGAACTCTACGACGACGCGAGCATCGTGTTTAACGAAATGTCTGTTGGCTCGAATTAACGAAATACGCAGAAATGTTAGAAATAGGAGGGGATTGGACGTAAAAGTTTGTGAATCCCTTAGCCAGTTTCACATAGTGAGTAAATTGTAATAGTCCAAGCTTCGTACATCGTAAATATTTACATTCATACTATTCCGCATGATTAGCCCTGTTCATCAAAGAACAAAAATATTCCTCAACGAAATGGGTAATTTTCTGAACGTTACCTGTCGGCTTGATATTCCGTGACTTGCGCGAGGCATTGTTGTGTGCGCACCGCCGACCAAAAAATGGAGTTCGAGAGAAGTCAATAAATAAATTAAAAACTTTAAAGAGATCATATTCTTGATATTCTTGGCTTGAGAAAAACCCAGTACCATTTCACAAGCCCCACATTCTACAACTTCCCTAAGCCGCTCACGTTAAACGTATATAACAATTTGCTGGACTCTGGAAATAATAATTCTCTTGTGTCCCGTTCTGGTCTCCCTCGGTTCTCTTCGTCGCTACTTCTGTGTGTGGGAAATACAGAGAGTCAGACAGATATTGAGAGAGAGAAAATGAGTTCTTAGAGACCATTTAAGAAGGGTAATGTAATGTGAAAATTGAACATATTCTGAAAAGGAAGCAAAAAAAAAATTATGACAATCGCTGTTTGGTAATAGTATCAGTAATACATGATTTTCAATAATTTACTGTATGTATGTCTATTGTATGTTTATTAGTAAGAAGTTCTTGTACAGTTGTAACATTTTGACCTAATGAACTACCAGTCACCTGACTGAGATTAGAAATGTAACAACGAACCTAACGCATAATGTAGCCCCTCACTCTTCACTTCATAGACAAGCTGCGAGGTTAATGTTACACAAATATCTTAAAATGCCTTGTCAAATAAGTCGGAAAGTGAGCGCGTAAGATTTGGCGGTAATGAAAAATACGGATATGGATTTGGCGGTACGGAAAATATGGATACAATGGTTGAATCATATCTACGCGACGATTGTAAGTTAAATTAATATTTCTTGGTTTGTGTACTTCTGAGATTACTTAGTAATATAACAAACAACCATTTAAATTTGGAACACATTAATTTGTCATCATAGGTGGTGATTGTATATACGCATCCCTTATGGAGAAAGTTAAACTTATATATTATATATAAATCAGGCGCTGACATTGCTAATACAAAATTGAGATAATAAGCTTTGACGATCTGTATCTTCTTTCGAAACAAAACTCCTTCATTGTGTTATACTAATTACATTATATTGCGCTTTACATACTTTTGAGATCGAGGTATACGAGCTTATGAGATTTTCAGATTTCAATCATACAATTTCATCATTTATGAGATTTTAAGATCAAAATCACATGTTATGTGATGTATAATAACGTGTGCTAGAAAAGTCTCCTCGCACTGGCACATTGCTGGTGAGAATGATAGCAAGATAAACTATGTTCGTAGCACGAGCTGATACTTGTGACATAATATATAAATTACGTACTCCCTACAATCATAATAAGTATTGGGACTGTTGTCGCCTTCATCAGTATTCCAGTGATCTGGCTGCTACCAGTCCAAATGCAATGTTGAATAGAAGGCTCGATTCGTCTCGTGGTGGAAGGACTCTTCTGGCGCGTTGTATCAAGACATTACAAATGTGCTACAGCCTCCTATTGCAATAAACATGTCACAAATGTGCTACAACTCTCTAATGGAATAAATACATTGCACGTGTGCTACAACTCTATAATTAAATAAATTCACTACACGTCCTTAAAGAAAGATCCCCGCGTGCGGCGCGCTGCACTCACCGTTGAGAATGTGGACGTAGGTGCTGGCGGGCTGCGCGTTGTTGGGCACGCACGAGTAGTTGCCCGAGTCGGCGCGCTGCGCGGCGCCTATGTGCAGCGTGCTGGTCTTGGCCTCCTTGTCGGTGGTGACGTTGACGCCGCTGTCATAGTTGATCATGCGGTTGTTGTGGTACCAGAAGATATAGAGCGGCGGCGCCGTGCTCTGGCGCAGCGCGCACTCCAGCCGCAGCGAGCTGCCCACCTTCAGGTACTTCTCGGCCGAGCCCGCGATCTCGGCGCGCGCCTCTGCAACGCAAACGACACACTTGTCAGACATTAAAAAGTTTACGGGCACGTCAACTGCTGTGGTCAATAGTGCCGATAGTGCAATGATTATTACAACGATTAATTCATGTGTCCAGGCACATCAACTACTATGGTCGTTAGTAACGATAGTGATAATAACAATGATTGTTTAATTAATATTTCCAGCCACATCAACTGATATAGTCATTGGTTCAGATAGTGTAGTGTAGTGATCGTTACAATGATTTTTTTATAAGTGTTTCCGGCCACGTCAACCACTATGGCCATAAGTGCAGATAGTGCAGTGATCATTACAATGATTGATTAATTAATGCTTCCGGGCACAACTGCTATGGTCATTAGTGCCCATAGTTTAATGTTTTATCCCGGGGACTGGCAGTGTTCTTTTTCCGATGGGCGGAGGGAGATCCGGAACTCACGTATACATCGGCGTGCGGGGATGTCCCCTTCTAGATATCTCACCCAGCGGGATACCGACCCTGACGGAAGAAGCTCTAAGCTTTCGCCGTGAGAGTGGTTATGTATAGTATGTAAGTATGTGTAAGGGGAAGCGACAGAACAAAGAAGAAGAAAGATCGAACGTGTGCCGAAGTCCGTATGTTAAGATACTCTTCCAGCATTTACGTGATATTGATCGGAAAAACGAATGAAATCTACCGATCAGACGAGACAACCGCTAGAATTATCTCCGAGCTTTACCGGAATTGTCGCAAATTTGCCAGCACCAGGACTAAAATCCTAGGGCCACCGGGTCAGTTACAGAGACAGCAGAACAGCTGACTCTTAGCTGTGTCGGCGAAATTACAATCAAGTAATTTACACTTTATTTCAATCTGTTTCAGGTAGGCCCACTTCCAGAACCATGAATAATTTGCGTCATGTGTGGTACGTATTGATACGCGTGCTAGTCGTTACGTCTGTCCACCAGCAATTGTGAATGTAAATGATACATACAGATATATAGATAGTACAATATAAATAATATATAAATATGAAATTCAATTTTACCCCCACACTTCAGAAATGTTACCGACCACAATACAATTTTGCCGTTTGAAATAAAAGCCAACTTTTTGTACAGCTAAGTTTATGCTATTAAAAAATCATTATAGTATTGCGACTTCACATGTTACACAGAAAAAACGAATAACTTATTTCAAAACTACTAGACAATTTGAAAGTACTTATGATATTATATATAATGTATTATTTTCCGATAAATCCCTGAGAGAGACATGATACGTGTTAAAATGATGCATACAGCGCTCAAAGTGGTAAAGAGACTTGGGTCATCAGGTCTGGTAGCAGACTCTTAATGGGAACGCCTAAAGACCTGAGGATATTGGTGATTGGTAAAATTCAATTCCATTGTGTCTTTTCTTCACTAGGCGTGGTTGAGGCCTGCTCTTCTGCCTGATCACACTAATTTCGCTACGCTCTCTTCGCAATTTAGCAATAAAAGATGTCATCACTCCAGTGAAGAAAAGTGAGAATTTAGCTCTAAGGATTGAGGATTGTTAACATACAGTACATCTTCAACATGCGACATTAGGCATAACGCCCCCTCGGAAGAAAAGCGTACGAAAAATTTTCCTGCCCATTACGGCCCACGGCTTTGATCTGATTTTAACCAGAGATTTGGGGTAAAACAGTCCTATATGCTAACTGCTACACCACCAAATCCACTAGACCACGGGTCTCGGAAATTTACTTAATATGTTTAACATCGGTGAGTTTGCGATACCTCTGAATCGAATTTGTTGGCTGATTAAGTTGATTCTGTAGTTTCCATGTTCACTTCGAGGAGAATGCCGGAGAAGCACCATTCATAACGGCCAATTGTAATCCTTCACCCTCTCCACAGCCCTAATAGGGAGTGTTGGGCCGTAGGACGTCGAGACCTAACCTCCCCGTTATTACTTGGGTGGAGAGGCCTTGCAGATTCAGCGACTGGAAATCATGGTCCAGGCATATATCCAGTTAGTTTATTCGTGTGGAGATTCAATTAACCTGGACTTGCTAGTACATAAGCAAGGCCTTTGATCTATAAATTAAATTAGAAACGTTTTTTAAAGACATTAACTAGCATTAACAAAGAGTTTAGTGAAGCGTTATTAAGCGTACAACAAGCAATTTTCCCTTCTCTATACTGTTCCCACTTCTGTTTTAATAAGTTCGCTCCCATTGCTCCTTAAATGGAGCAAGCAACTCCACTAATTTTTTCTTTACAGTCTATTACAGTGTAAATGTTGTAATCCTCAACAGAGATAATATCACAGATCATGTTTCGTCCCTCCCTATTTTTCTTTCTTATGTTTTTAATGGAAAATTGTTCGAAAATTGCAAAACTTCAATTTGATGACATGTTTTCTTAAATAATATCTGTTCTACAATTAGTGATACTACAACAGCACAAATTATTTCACGTGATTTGTAACCACTTTGCAATATTATTCTTACTACATGAACCTGCAAAAGTGTTTTCAACCAGCAAACGTTTTTTTCGTGCGAAAACTTTGACACCTTTTAACATGAATGAGAGGGACTCTACTATTTCTAAGATGGTGATGCTGTTGCCACTCTGCTATTGCACATGTGTCTCTAACTAATTATAAAAAAATACAGTATTTGCACGTTTTGTTCAATACTGAACAATTGAGACATGGAGAGGTATTCCAAAGAGAAACTAGATGTAATGTACTAAAATCACTTCGTTCGGCAGTGTATGGAGATAATGATCAGGACATAGAAGAGGACTAACAGTCTGCACTTCAAAACAATGCTCTCCTGACGTTTATTTAATAGTTTATGATATTTTGAGCTGTCACCATTACATAGTCCGGGGTTTAAAAGAATCAAAACCACACATAAAATGACTGCTTTATAGTGCCAATTTTTTACACGAAAACGTAATTTGGAATCTCATAGAGCATGTTTCGTGAAGTAGAAGTCAATATTTAAATAAAATAGCTAAATGCACGAAACATTTACTTTCAATTATGGTTTGTAGTGCAAACAAAACTATAGTTAAATAATTCTACACATTAGGTTTGTTATTGTCGTATATTTCAAATATATATGCCAAAGGGTGATGAATTTATTTGATGACGTATACACGTACATGACTCCCGTATTAACAAATAAATGTTACAACTTAGAGATTGACTAAATGACTAAAGTGGCTGATCTGATGCATGCTATAAAGCTGTCTTTGAGAGAGACTTTGGCCAGCAAGGGAATGAATAGGCTACAACAAAATTAATAGTAATAATAATAATAGCAACAGTAATAATAATAATAATAATAATAATAATAATAATAATAATAATAATAATAAGAAG